GGGGGATCTAGTGGCCTGTTACAAACTAGTCAGAGGGGACCAGCAGGCACTGGGGGAGTCCCTGTTCCCCCGAGCACTACCAGGAGTGACCAGGAATAACGGTTACAAGCTGGCAGAGGGTAGATTTAGGCTAGATATCAGGAGGCGCTACTTCACGGTCAGGGCAGCTAGGATCTGAACCAACTTCCAAGAGAAGTGGTGCTGGCTCCTACCCTGGGGGTCTTTAAGAGGAGGCTAGATGTACACCTTGCTGGGGTCATTTGACCCCAGTACTCTTTCCTGCCATGGCAGGGGATCTGCTCAGGTCCCTTCTGACCCTAGAAACTATACTTCCGGTCCACTTTCAGGTTCACTGAGCATGCAGGGGGCCCCCTGTGCTCCTGTGGGACTCTCCATCCAACCCAGCTTGCAGCTTCATGAGCTGCACCTGGTACCTTGAGGTATGTAGAAAAAACATTTAAAGCTGTGTCTGTGGCTGAATTGCTGATTCTCAGAATCAGCACTGAATCTTTGGATTTGGCCAAATTGAATAGGGACAGTGATCCGAATCAACAAATTGAATCACTGTCCCCAGTTTGGGCTGAATCTGAATAGAACACAGCCCATTTCGCACATCCCTACTTTGTAGCTTCTGCTAGCAGTATTTCCCAAAATTGATACACATGGGCTATGTTTTTTCCAACTGCAAATATCTTCAAACACCCCTTCTAAATATCTCCTTCTCTGGTTTGTCATCGGATGGTTCATCCAAAGCTATTTCAAGTCTGTCCCGTTTCTTTTAGCTCTGCTGGTGTGGCACTCCAAAGGCTCCTTCTTCCCAGCAGTTATTTTATTTTAGAAGTTATAAAAGGCCTATACTACTCTTATTTTCTGTTAAGAATTTTGATCTGTGTTACCACGTCATTTCTGTATGAGACATAGATCAGGATCCACTGTATTAGGCTTGGTACAAACACAGAAAAAGAGGTCTCTATTCCACAGTTTAAAACAAGATAGGTAAGTAAGTCCAATCAAACAGAATTAATCACCAAGGTAGCCAGTGGTCTTATCACGTCAGCAACTAGCTTAAGCTATTTTGTAGGCATTATTACAGCAATGGAAAATTTTAAGGAGGGATTTAAAAGGAGTACGTAGCAAATGGGAACTTAAATGAAAAAAAATCCCTGTTTAAAAATGTGACAACCAATCCGATGACAAACCAGAGAAGGAGATATTTAGAAGGGGTGTTTGAAGATATTTGCATCAGGGACTACGTGAAGGCAGGAGCTGAACTGTATTTACTGAACTGACAGACAGGTATAGAATACATTGTGAAGTCCTTGTATTCATCTGCAAGTAATCCTGTATTTGACACATTAAAAGAGGGATGTAGAGAGGTAAGCAAGACAGTCAAAGCAGTGGACTGCCAACTATCTTTGCAGCAGCATTCTGAATGGATAAGAGCACAGAACAACTGAATTTGTCAGGGCCAGAGAAAAAGATATCAGAATAATGAAGATGAGAACCTGGACAAGACATATATGAACTTTACATTGTGAAAAAAATCTGAAAGCTTTAGGTAGTCTGGATATGGGTTTAGAGTGCAGCCTAACCAGACAATGACATAAGTTACAGGTCACAGCATCTCCATTTTGTTTTTTCTGAAAGCCTGGAATTGTTCACAAGAACAAGACAAGATAGGAAGTTCTCTTGGCACTGTCCATGCTGGGATCCCCCATCCAGTGTTGAACGATGTGAGACCTAGGATTCCTCTGAAACTGATCTCCTCTAAGTTTCTGGAAAATGAAAAATATCAAGTATAGACCTAAGATCCATTTTTTCTTTTGCTCCAGCATCCAAGGCAAGTGTTTACTGGGACTGCTCAAGATGGTGAGTTTGATTTTAAAGAAGCAGCTGTTTGAGAAAGAACTACAACTCACTACCTCTGTCACTCACTGGTTTGAGATTGTCAAAGATGATTCTTTTGAGAAGTGAAATAGTCTCCCAGTCCCCTGGCAGATATACAGCTAAAGGCACAATGGAATCTGATGTGCAAACCCAACAATAGTGCTTCCTGCCATTTCCTTCCTGCATGGCAGGGAGTGCGACTGTGGGATCACACATCAGATCGCTATTGTACCACACTGTTGGTGCAACAGGAGCCCAGGCTCCCCCTGCACAGGCAAGTAGAAAGCTAGTCAAGTTGATCCTGCTCCTGGCCTCAAGAGCATATTAGAATCAAGGGCTCCAACGTGCCCAAGTCTGGGAGTGCCGATGAGCTGACTGCCACTCCCAGCCTCGGAGATGCACCACAGCCCTTGACTCTGAGGCACACTTGAGGATGGAAGCTGCAGCCAGCTGCTGCTCCCAGCCTCTGAGGTGCAACAGACTCAAAGTCTCCACTGAACCCTGGATGCAGGGAGTGGTGACTGACTGGGGCTCCCAGACTCTGGAGTACATCACAGCCCTTGACTTTTCTGTGCCTCAGAGACTGGAAGCACAGGGACCTGGGTTCCCAGGCTCTGGTGTACAGGGGAGCTCTTGACTCCATTGCGTTCCAGAGGCTGGGAACCTTAATCATCTGCTGCTCCCAGCGGGAGTGTCAGTGTGGTGTCAAGGGGTCTGATGTGCCCCCACACCTGAGCACCACGGCCTCCAAGACACAATTCAGCCCTTGACTCTGATGTGCCCTGGAGGCTGGGAGCAACAGTCAGCTGATCAGCGCTTCTAGTCTTGGGTGAACACATGAGTCAAGCTCCTGAGCCTGGGAGCCCTGATCAGCTAATGTCTGGCCATACATGCAATTTAACGTGGGATTAACTGAATATCTGGCTGGGTTGCTACATGCAATATGATTAACTGGTTAATCATGTCTTCAGTATAACATCTACCAGGGGCCCCAGATTCACATCTGGGTAGACAGTTCAGTATCACAGGGAACTCTGAGAGACTGTGCTTCCACCCCTAGTTTTGCTGCCTGATGATGGTTCCTGAATTTGTCCTGTCATCACTTCCTCAGTACTTCAGTGCAGATATACAAAAGGAATGTTTCTTCCATCTACTGCCTGGAAACCCCTTTTGAGGCATTATGGGCATTTTTACGGGCATGTGTAAGTGCCACAGTGCCAAGCACTCTGAAAAGCGCCCGGTGCCGCAACGTTTCCAGTTGTATAAGCAATGAAATGTGTATTAGCACCGAGAAAATGGCAGTGGTACACTTCTGAACTAAAAAACATAGGAGGTACTTTAGTTCAAAAGTGCACCGCCACCATTTTCTGTGTGCTGACACACATTTTACCACTTATACAACTGCACGCAGCACCGTGAAGTTTGCCTCAGCTCGTGTGTACAGCAGACTTTATTAACCAAGTCTGCTCTGAAGTGGTGGATCTCTGGCATGTCGCAGGACAGCAAGTATGTGTATAAATGTCCTATGTGACGAGGATATGGACTGCTCCATCTGTTACAATATTAGCAAATTTCTCTCTCACAATGAATGAGGCTGCGAACTAGGAATACAGGGTTTGTTTGAAATGGATGTCACCAGATGTGGTGCCTTCTTGCTGAGCTGGAGGCAATGGCTGTGGTTGAAAATCTTTGCTGCATTCATAAATGTTGTTGATGTGGCTACTTCAAGGGGTAGAATGAAATTTAGAACGGCCAGAGTTCTCCTTTGCTTTAAAGTGATCAAGCCAGGATACCATAGCTGTTGAAATATGTGGTGGGCAACATCAACAAAACTGGCTGAGGAAACCAGTTAGGTTGCACAAAAACACACACACTTGAATTTACCCTTATCTAGGATTCTCAGTTTCTTCTTGTTATCTGTTCAAAAGGATGGTGGAACTGGGTGCTGCCAACAATTTGGCAGGTCTGCTTGCCTTTGTGAGCTTCTTCTAGTTGGATCTACGTATAATGTCAAATATGACCATGCTGCTCAAGTGCCCCAATTTATTTTGCAGGAAAAAACTTTTCTGCATTTTTCCATGCCTCAGTCAGAATGGGGACTCAGGAAAAGTGCCTCTTACATTTCTTTTCTCCCCCCCACCCTTTTCTTGTTATTCATTTTAGAACTTTTAGCCCTCTTTGCAGTGGTTGCTACATTGCTGTGGCCACGGTGGAGCCTCTCACAGTAATTCTAATTTAGATTACAGTACTCCAGAGAAAAGGAGAGAAATAGATTGCCTTTTGCTATCAGAAAATAACTATTAAATGCAAAGCTACAAAGAAAAAGTGAGGTGTGAAGTGAACTGCTGCTAGACAAAAAATAATGCCAGCAGTTGGGGCAGTGTTGCAACACTAAATGGCAATTAGAAAAAGCAAAAACAGGAGGGGAACAGCCTGAATGTACCAGGACTGTGAGATGTGAAGATGCAGAAACCAAGTTACACACATTCAGGAGATGTAAAACTGGAGTGATGCTTCAGTTCTCTAACAGTAGAACTCCATTTGACTAGCTAAATAATTCATGCAAAATTCTTGACAGAACAGGAAACAAAACTAGGTAGATCATTACGTGGTAAGGTGGTGAGGATCCTTGTAAACAGAAATAAGTTCTTCTCTACATATGCTACCTAAAACATGCACAAGCCAACTCTGCAGAATCAGGCTCAAGTAGGAAGGCATGTAAACTGCCTATCATCCATTTCACTTCAAAGTCAAATCCCCTCTCAAGCAACTGCATCTTTTCTCCAACATTCTGCTTCTACCAATAATTAATTTTTTGCATGAGAAAATTATATATATTTTAGCTGGTCTAAAAGCTGGTTTCTGGTTGCCAGTCTACGTGGTAAGGCTTAAATTAGGTTACAAATTTTAGATTTTAAATAGGTGTATGTCAGTAAACTTTTAAAAGCTTTAAAAACAGAATCTATGCACACAGTAGGACTAACACTAATAGAAACAGCAGAAAGTAAGGAAATCTCAGCATAAAATATGACAGCAAAAGAAAGTCTGTATCAATTGCTTTGTTAAAACAGCACAATAAAGGTACAGATGCATACCTGTTATAGACAAAAACAAAAACAACAAAAAACAATAATATTTCATTCAATAATAGTATAATACTTCCTACTGAAAGCACACTAACCTGTATGAGTATATGAAGAGTTCACTCTGTTATCAGACTGGTATCCCAGTATCTGTACACAGACACAATAAAGGCAGTTCTCATCTGTGTGCTCTTGTAGCCCAGTGTCTTCTGTATTTTCTAAAAACTGAGAGGCATCTGAACGGCTTGTATTCATTATTTCTGTGAGGCTGATCTGTTGTCGAAGCATTTGAAAAGGGCTTTTGACAACATCAGTAGTACCAGAAGGGAGACCTGTAGATACGCAATTAGATGTCAGAAAGTCAGAATATCAATATGGGCTATGTTAATATACCTTGAATTAAATAGATTCTTTTAAGATTAGGTCAGAAACCTAGAAACGATAGTTTTCATTCTGAAGAGGTTTTAGCTTCAACATCTGTGAGTTGCACAGAATGAAAAGTAGCATTTTTGTAAGTCCTATCGAATCACATTTCTCAAAACATAGCAAAACAAACATTTGTAAATTTCATCTGCACATCACATACTGCAAAAAAATACACAGCAAACACTAGTTCACAAATAATAATGAAAAAAGGGTCCACATTCATTTTTATTTTCGATGCAAATGAGAAAGTTTTGTTACAAGTTAACTACTCAAAAACAGAAACAGGCACTTTAACAGGGATTAACCATCGCAGCAGTCTATGATACTAGCAGCCCAAATCTGATGTTCAGGGATCCTAGTATTCTTTGTTTAAAAATCAAAATTTTCTGATTTAACACCCTCCACCCCCAAATTCATGTTTTCCATGATTAAAATCAAACACCACTATATATATATGAGATGTCAATTGAACACAATGTTTTATTAACATACTTACAATTTTAAAGCAATTTGGAAGTCTACCAGTGCTTCAGTTGTTATAATAAAAAAAAATTCTAAATACTAGAAGTGCACCGATGCATTGGCCCATACGGTATTGGCACCAAATTAAAAGGAAAATTGACATTGTCCACAATCAGCTTTTTTGACTGATGGGGCCAATAATTGCGCCAATAAATGCCACGTGCACGTGTGTAGCTACAACACGCACACAGCCAGGAATGCAGCCCAGCAGCTTGGAGAGATGTGTTTGGCTAGTAAGTCTGTGGTGGGAAGGAGCGTGGGGGAAGGAAGGGGCATGGGGAGGGAAGATCGAGGCCCCCACGGTGAGGGAGGGAGTGGAGCTGGAGCAGGGGCAGACACTATCCAGCCATGGCAGGAGAGGACGGAGGAGGCAGCTCATCTGAGGGTGCAAGGGGGAGGGGTGGCTCCCGCCGCTATGCACACCCCTGGGGGAGGCGTGGGGGGAATTTGCCCCCCAGACCTGTGTGCAGGGCGAGGGCAGACAGCCAACACACCAAGCTCTTCCTGGTGGCTGTGCTCAGGCTGGGCAGGGCATGTGGCAGTAGCGCTGGGAGGGGACTAAAGCCACTGGCATAGTCCCCTTCCCAGCACAGCTGCTGCGAAGAGCCTGGCATAGCTCATGAGTGTGCAGCAGCAGCCTGCCCTTGCCCTGTGCACAGATCCAGGTGGGGGGGGGGGCCTACATGCCCCCCATGCCTCCCGCAGGGATGCATGCAGAGGCAGGAGTTGCCCCCCGCCTCCGTCCTGTGCCCCACCCTCCCACAGGAGCTGCTGTTTCCATCCCGTGTTGTTCCCTGACCCCCTCCGGCTGGGTAGCACCTGCCCCAACCCCACGCTCTGCCTCACTGTAGGGTCCTCCATCTGTCCCCCCCATACCCCTTCCCACCCCATGCTCCTTACCTCCACAGACTTACTGGCCGGGCACTGGTCTCCAAACTGCCGGGGTTCATGTCAGCCATCAGATCAGTATCGGCCAATATGGCTGGTCAATAATTGGCCCAAAAATTTTTTTGGTGCATTCTCACTAAACATATACGTATTTTGGTGTTTGATTTTTCTATCATGGAAAAATCAGAGCTCTCCCAGCCCCTTCCACTTACCAGGATGATAGTCCAGCTGCAGCTGTTCCCCCCGCTGCTTTGTGCTGCTGCATAGCTGCTCTCCACCACATGGCCTGGCTGCTGCATGCATGTGCATGCAAGCACATGCACGTGGCACCCCCTGTGTCTTGCTCCCTCCAGCTCCAAGCATCTCCTTGCAGGCTGGAACTCTGACAGCCTGCAAGGGGAAACTTGTGGTTTCCCAAGTTTTTCTCCACAGGAAACAGAAAACCCGGATCCCCGCTGATGACCCTTTCAGCCTTAAGGTCCTATTTAACCTATTCTTTCATTCATAGGCAAAACAGCCATTTCCTCATTAAAAAATGTGGCAACTATATACAAATTATAAAAAAGTTGGGAAAACCTATTTTATATATTTGGCTTTAATACTAACAAGAAATGCCTGTTTCAACATGCAATGTGTCTCTGAAAAATTGTTATAACTGTTTTAAAAAGAGTAACACAGCAATACAATCAGGCAGCACTCTAACCCATTCATCTCTTCTCTTGTTTAATTGCCAGTAACAGCATTTATTTCTTCAGTTGCAGTCCTAAAAATACAGCCCTTACACCATTTCCTGAAGATTATCATATTCTGGTTATTTTGGATTAATATAATGTATTGTAAAGGTAACGGGATAGGACAGAACATCTGCAGCCCTCCTTCATATCAAGGCTCCAGTGCTTCTGGTGATGCACTGGCCCTATCTGATAGGAAGAAAGAGATTTCCCACTGAAAAGGGAAGCTTTCATAGACTGACACTTCAAAAGAAAAGTAGCAGGAGAGAATTGTTGAATGTGCCTGTAGCAAGACACGAAGGTTACCAAACAGGGAAACAACTGAGAATCTAATCAGTCTGCAAACAATGAATAACAATTGGTAAAGACTTGCAATCAACAGAAAGCTCTTTTAATAGTTAGCTGCTTTCTCTAACCTGCCAACACCCTCTCCAGCTTATTTGTGTTCCAGTTCATTTTCCTTCACCAGTGACCTTACTCAAACTTCCTTGCTGGCAAATTAAATACACTACTTACAAGCAAGAACAGGATCAACTTGTGTTTAAGATCAGATACAAGGTTGTTGTGTTATTACCCTGAAAACTTATATACACAGTTCTCCAAACTGACCAGCTAGGACCACAAACTGTGCCACAAACATACAAGTGGCAATTTTAACTCTAAAATGAAAAGATACTGATGAGAAAATACTACCTCCTGCTTCAGGTGAAAAGACTCTAGTTCCACGATCATCAAATGGAGGCATGGTTTTCTTTTGGAAATAAGGAGTTTCTTTTACCTGAAATAATTGAAAGGAAATTATGCAGAGATGTTTCAAGGAAGTTAATAAATGATAAGATGCACACACAAAAAATGGATTTTATTAGAATAGCTGCAACCCAGAGCTAAAAAAACTGATCATAATTAGTTATATTTTTGTAAATGACACTGCTAATGGTCAAATGCACACAATGATCTGAAAGTCAGTAAACTTACTATTATCAGGAAATATTTGTAGGGTGCTATATAGACAAAAAATGCCTTGAAGTACTTAAATTCAGGGCCAATGTCAGCCTCTTCCTGATGGGGAGGTTGAGCTAGGCCAGGCCAGGGAGCTTGGTGGGGGGGTGTAACAGTCTTCTCTCAAATCCCTTAAAATTGCTCATTTTTTTCTTGTTAAATAATCTCATTACGATATATTTATTTAACAGCACAGCAATACAATGAAGAGTTGCTTAATTCATTATTTCTAAATTACTATTTCTTTTAGCAACAGTTACCCACTCCTCATTATTTCATGTAATATTCATTGTATTTAACAGAATACATTTACTTGCTTTTATTGTCAACATCAGACTGTATTATCCTGCAGTCATTCCATTATGGCATTTAACATG